TCTGCTTCTCTGCTCTTGTCTTCCTCAGAGCCTGGCTGGAGGAGCAGCACCTGGAAGGGGAGCAAGAGGAGAGCCAAAGACCTCACCCCTGTCCCCCCTGCCCACACCCCCCAGCCAACGCAGCTCTTATGCTGATGGCTCCTGGATCCCTCCCCATGTCCCTAACCCGGTTCCCAGATTTCTTCCTTCCTCTACGTCCTCCTTGCAGCCCCACCACGATCCCCTTAAGTCTTTCTTGTTCTCACACTGGCCCCCATTGCCCGTGCCCCCATTGCCCGTGCCCCCATTGCCCGTGCCCCCATTGCCCGTGCCCCCATTGCCCGTGCCCCCATTGCCCGTGCCCCCATTGCCCGTGCCCCCATTGCCCGTCCCCCCATTCCCCGTCCCCCCATTCCCCGTCCCCCCATTCCCCGTCCCCCCATTCCCCGTCCCCCCATTCCCCACACGTGGTGCATGTGAAGAATTAAGTTGTGTTCTTACTCCATGGTTTGGTTCAAAGCAGAGGGCTGAGCTTCTTGTCCCCCCGCCTGGGGGGAGCTGGGTTTGGGCCTGGCAAAGGCCCTTGCTCCTGGGGCTGAGCTCCTTTGTGGCTTCCCCCCTCATCCGGGGGCTCCTGCGGGTGCCTTCTGCCCCCTTGGCTGTGCTGTGGGGGTCCAGCTGGTGCCGTGTCCTGGAGCGCAGACCCAGCTCCTGCAGCTTTGTGTGGTTCTGTGCTGTTCCCCCTTGCTAAAACCCTGCTGCTGCCCCCCTCTCTGTGTCCCCCTTGCTCCAGCTGCTGCAAACCCCCAGGCCTGGGCCAGAGAGCTCTGAGCATCCCTACCCTGGGACCGCATTTGTCCCTTGCACCCTCTGACCCCCTTGACTGCCTTGGCAGGGCACATCTGGGCCCTGGCACATCTGGCTGCCTGCACCAGCTCCTCGTAGCCCCCCTCCAGGATGGCCAAGTGCGGTGGGAGCAGGATGGATGGGGCCGTGGCTCTGGGTGTGCTGCAGTCCCGTGGGGACCGGGGTCACCCGCTCCTCCTGCCCTCCTTTCCTGCCTGCCAGCGCCACATTCCCCTTTGCCTGCTCCCAGCCTGGAAGCTTCCAATTCAACCTTCCAGGCTGCTCCTGGTTCCTCTGCCTCATTAAGAGGGGGCTGAGGAGGAGGAGGGAGCCCAGCGCTGCCTCCGCAGTGACGGTTTTCCATGCTTGGATCCCGGCTGCGGAGGTGCTGGGAGAAAATCCATGTGCAGGGAGCAGCGTGGGGGCTCGTGCAGGGCCCTGGAGCCCCTGCCCCGTGTGGGCTCTGCACCCCAGGCACTGCTGACACTTGATAGGGACAGGGGCCTGCTGGCCCCATGGGCTGTCCCACAGCGTGGGGCCACAGGGCGGTCACTGCTCCAGCAGCCTGGGGATGCCAAGCATCACCTATGGTGCAGGGAAGTGTCCAGGCTGAGGTGGTTCTGGGGGTGAAACTGCTGCCTTTTGCCGGTGACACTGGTGCAGGACAGGTTGTGGGGACACAGGGCTGGATGGGGACAGAGAACTTCTTGGGTTAAATGGGGATGGGGCAGCAAGAGGTTGGCCCTCAGCGCTACCCAAGTGCCACCACTGGGCCCCACCCCAACCAGTGGCTCTGGGTGCCCACAGCTTGCACCCGTGGCTGTTGCTATAACCTCCCCAGTCTGGATGCTGTCGGTGCCCTAGTGCTGGTGGCTGTGGTCCAGCAGGGCCTGGCTGCTGTCCCTGTGCTGCAGCTCTCAGGGAGCCTTTCCCAGCCATCAGATGCCACCTTGCTGCCAGCCTGTGCGACCTGTCCCCATCCTGTCTGCAGCATCCCTACAGTGACCCCCTGCCACCCAGCTTCATCCTGGCTGCCTCTTGTGGTAGCATCCGTGTGGACCCCATGTTCCTTACAGCCCTGTGCCTCCAAACCCCACTTTATCCATGCCCAGGCTGTCCCCAAGGCCTGGCCATGCCCCAGTGCTGCAGGGCACAGGGTGGCCGTGTCCCCATCCCCACCACTGCCCCTGGCTCCGTTCCTGTGTTTCCCGGCAGCGGTGCCCGGCACAAAGGCTCCCATTGCCCGTGCCCAGGCTCCAGCCCTGCACACAAAGCCCCTTTCAACCACCCAGGGAAAGCCCCTGGCACGGAGCCCCTGCCCGGGGAGGGCTCTGGCCCTCGCTCCATCCCCGTGGGTCACTGGGGGGGGCAAAAGACCCCCAGCCTCAGTGCTTGGGTGAGCGGGGTATGGCCGCGCACACGGAGCTGGGGCTGGGGCAGGATTGGGCTCCCTGGGAGCTGGGAAGGGACCCAGGGTCCTGAGCCCTGGCTGGGCTCCTTTACAGAGCCCCTGGGATGGAAGGGCTTTGGGAGGATCCAGCCACATCAGGAGCACCCCAGGGCTGTGGTGGCCGGAGCAGAGCTGCTCGTGCTGGGGCTTGTCCGGGGGCTGTAACCGGGGGAGCGTGGCCATGGGTGCAGCGGGCATGGGTGCATGCGTGTGCAGAGCAGCGGGGCCGTGGCTGTGCCTGGGGCACACACGGAAGGGTGGATGAACGTGTGCAGCCCCATGGGTGCACCCACGGTCAGGGACCGCAGCGCGGGTGTGCATCTGCCCAGGGCACCCGCGTGCAGGGGCAGGCACGTGTGTGCTGCACGTGGGTGTGGAGGGATGGAAGTGCATGGGGACGCATGGATGTGCACGTGTGAGTGAAAATGCAGATCCAGATCCGTTTTACAGTGTTAACAGAGGAATCTCTTGTGGCTGTAAACAGCTCCTGGTTGTTGTACCCCCAGCATCCCCCGTGTGCCCAGGATCCGAGGCTGCCATTGCTGGAGCAGCTGAGGGAATGCCAGCCCCCACCCAGGCATCCCACAGCAGCCTGAAAGCACTCCTGGCTCTGGCACCCGGCAGGCACAGGGGGTCTTGTCCTGTCCCTTGGCTGCAGATGCTCTCTTGTGGCTGGGTGGAAGCCGCGGTAGGGGCAGTCCTGTTGTGAGCAAGAGGCAGAAGACAAGACCGGAGGAGCCCATCCTGCAGGGACCCAGCGAGGTCCCAAACAGAACGCACTTTCACCGTGCACGCTCAGGGGTTAACCCTGACCTGCCCCGTTCTGTTCCAGGGATCTGCTGTCAACACCTCCTTTAGAACACTGCCACCCCATTGGAATCTTTCTGCCTTTTGCCTTAGGATTTTCTAGCAGCTGCTGCGAATGGGCACGCTCCAACATCTCTTTTACAAGGGACCAACCCAGACAATGCAAGGTGCAGTTTCTTATCAGCACCTGGCCAGTAAATACAGGTGCTTTACACACAGAATCCCAGCCGCTGACCACAGCTACGTTACAAGCACACGCATTCAAGCTGCGACTGCTCAGCTGCCCCCAAGTGATGCTTTGCAATCATTCGATTCTCTCTTCCTCTGCCTCATTCTGCTTGGGGTACTCACGGGCAGCTCCTGCAGCTGAGGCATCCGGTTCCTCCTCTCCCCTGCCCAGCCCATGGCAAGGCTTGACAAAGGCTGCAGGCAGCGCCGTGGACCTGCAGGCAGGAGGACACAAATACCCCCCAGGTTATCAGCAGGTTGAAGGGTTTCCTTAGGGCAGAGGCGCTCTGAGGCACAAGGAGCGTGCAGCAGCTGCAGAAGCAAGCGGCCCGGTGTTAACGCTGCAGGAGTTGGCTGGGCCATTCCCCGCAGGCAAAGGGCCCGGCAGGTCGGAAACACAGGAGCTGCGCTGGCTCCTTCCTGTTCCAGCTCTGCCTCGTCTCACTTTGGTTTCCTCTTCTCCTGACCCCGATGCTGCTTGGCTGGTGGCTGATGGAGGTGATGGAGCTGATGGAGGTTATGGGGCTGATAGAGCTGATGGGACTGATGGAGGTGATGGAGCTGATGGAGGTGATGGAGCTGATGGGGCTGATGGAGGTGATGGAGGTGATGGGACTGATGGAGGTTATGGGGCTGATGGGGCTGATGAGCTGATGGAGGTGATGGAGCTGATGGGGCTGATGGAGGTGATGGGGCCGATAGAGCTGATGGAGGTGATGGAGCCGATGGAGCCGGGGCTGCACTGCCCCTCTCGCTGTTCCAGCCTGCAGCTCTGGTGTCACCCGATCCATCTGCTCCTCCCAGCCCCGGATTCACGCCCAGGTCACTTTAAACACCCTGAGCTGGGCTCCTCCCGTGTGCCCCGCGTGCTGCAGGTGCTCTTGAGGCTTTGTTTGTGGGGTGTCTACAAACGGCCCCAGTGCTCCCATAGATTGAAAGGGTTTGGGGGGGGTTTCCTTCACTGCACGGCTCCGGTGTCCATCCCGGCCGTGCCACCGGAGGAGTGCTGGGAGCCGGATCAGGGGGAGCTTCTTGTGCACACGGGGATCAAACAAGTGAAGGGGCAGCAGTGCCTGCTTCCAACCCTCCCTTAAAAACTAATATGGGAACCTGACAACAAAAACCACACAGAACACTGCCTGGCACCTACACACACACAAAGACACATTCACAGACACACACACACACACACACGAGGGATCCCACAAACACACTCCTCACAATTACAACGTTTGAAACACAAAACCCAGACCATCATTACCCCACTGCACGGCCCCACGCACAGAACATGGAGCCAGGACCCTGTGAGGATGGATGATCAGGCTGGAAAAGTCTGTGGGGGTCGATGGAAACATGGATATGTTTGTATGTGCCGGATCCTGGTATGTGAGCATCCCAGAGAGACCCTATCAAATGAGCTGTATACGGGGCTCCAAGTCCATGGTCCATCACTGCTCACCTGGTACCTGATAAGAGCATAGGAGAGACCTTCCCTCCGTGGGTCCTGATCCGGCACATACAGCACCGGGAAAGCTCTCGATCCACCCGCATCCCTGCCCCTCTCGCTCCTCCCTTTACAGCTGCCCATTTATCATGAGGGTCTGGGGGATGTGAATCAGGCTCCTTGTCTGGATCCACATGGTCCAAAGGAGCATCCAGGTCAGCATCAGCATCATCAGGCGGCAGAACCACGCGTATGTGCATGGCAGGGGGGTGCACACCCACCCCCGAGCCTGCCCAGGGGCTCTCCCTACCCTGAGCACCTCAAGACGCTGCTGGATGGATCCCCAGGGTGCAGACACAGCCCAGGCACTGCAGTGGGCACCCTGTGACACCTCGGACCCAGCAGCCAGTGTCCCCATGGCATTGCGCCCAGCGAGCCCCACCGGCTGCCCCATGGCTAGGGATGGAGCCGGGATGGGAATGGAGAAGGGGTGGGTAGGGATGGCCACGCTCTGTGCTCCCCATGCCGGGTGCCCAATGCCCTCCCTGGATCCCAGCAGAGCCGATGGATGGGGCAGGCGGTTCCCGGTGGCCAGGCCGGGTGCCAGGGCACATTCACCCCTGCAGGCGCCGCAGCGGCTGGGCTCTGTGCCATCCCTCCAGCTCTGTGGCCAGCGGCCAGTGCCAGCGGGACAGGGGCTCCCGGGCTCCATAAAACCCCTCATCCCGGCACATCGCCCCCATCCCATCGGCATGGACAGCCAGCGCCTGTCCTCCTCCAGCCGCCGCTCCGGCACCGCCGCCCCGCTGCCCCAGGGAGCACCCCGGGCGCCCCGCAGCACCCAGCTGGGTCCCCGCATGGGCACGGGCACGGGCAGGATGGATTTCTCGCTGGCCACGGCGCTCAACTCGGAGTTCAGGGAGGCGCGCGCCAAGGAGAAGGTGGAGCTGATGGAGCTCAACGACCGCTTCGCCGGCTACGCCGAGAGGGTCCGGCTGCTGGAGCGGCAGAACCGGGTCCTGGTGCTGGAGCTGGACCAGGCGCGGGACCAGGAGCCCTGGCGTGTGGCCGGCGTCTACCGGGAGGAGTTGCGTGAGCTGCGGGGTCGTGTGGAGCTCTTGGCCGCCGCCAAGGCCAGTCTGGAGACGGAGAGGGACGAGCTCAGCCAGGACCTCGGCAGCCTCCAGCACAGGTAAGGAGCTGCCTGGCTTGCGGTAGGCGTGGGGTCAAGGTGGGTGCTGTGAGCGGGAGGGTGATCAGGACCAGTGTGGTGATGGGGAGCAGGGGGACCACCAGGGTGCCCCCAGGGACCAAGGTGGTCACCGGGACAGGACTGAGAGTGGCCACTGGGGATGGGTGTGAGGGGGACCACCAGGAGCAGGGTGGATGCCGGCATGGTGATCAGGCTTGCTCTGGGGACCAGTGTGGTGATGGGGACCATGGTGGTAACAAGGACCAAGGTGACACCTAGGACTAATGAGAGAATTGGGGTGTCCCCAGGGATCAGGGTGGTCACCAGGACCAGGGTAGCCCTGGGGACCAGGTACTGCTGAGTACCAGGGTGGTGATGGGGAAATGGGTGGCCCCTGGGGACAGTGGTGGAGGGTGTGCGATGGGCACATGCACCTAACCTAGGGTGTAGGGGCTGGTGTCATGGGGCTGTGTTGAGCTGGCGGGGGGGGGTGTGTGTCTGTCCATGGGGCTGAGCAGGTAATGGTGCTGAACAGGGAATGGTGCTGAACGGGTAATGGTGCTGAACAGGTAATGGTGCTGAACAGGCAATGGTGCTGAACGGGTAATGGTGCTGAACAGGCAATGGTGCTGAACAGGCAATGGTACTGAACGGGTAAAGGTGCTGAACGGGTAATGGTGCTGAACGGGTAATGGTGCTTTTCCACCCCGGCACAGGCTGCAGGACGAGGTGACCCTGCGGCTGGAGGCCGAGAGCAACCTGGCTGCCTACAGGCAGGTGAGGACAGGGATCAGATCCTGCATCCCCCACCCTGCACCCCAGTGGCTCTGCCCCTGGCTCAGCCTCCTGCAGGGATATGTGGGGATGGAGCTTGGGTGAAGCAGGGATGGGGATTGGGTAGGGATGGGGATGGAGCAGGGATGGGGATGGAGAAGGGATGGGGATGGAGAAAGGATGGGGATGGAGAAGGGATGGGGATTGGGTAGGGATGCGGATGGAGCAGGGATGGGTAGGGGTGGAGTAGGGATGGGTATGGACAGATTGGGTAGGGATGGGGATTGAGCAGGGATGGGGATGGAGAAGGGATGGATGAGGATGGAGAAGGGATGGGTGGGGATGGAGAAGGGATGGGTGGGGATGGAGAAGGGATGGGTGGGAATGGAGTAAGGATGGGTGGGGATGGAGAAGGGATGGGTGGTAATGGAGAAGGGATGGGAATGGACAGATTGGGTAAGGATGGGGATGGACAGATGGGGCAGGGGTGGGTAGGGATGGAGTAGGAACGGGCAAGGACAAGGCAGGGCAGGGATGGAGATGGGGCAGGGATAGGCAAAGACAGGGCAGGGACAGGCAGGAGCAGGCAGCTCAGGAGGCAGCAGGCCCCTGGCACAGCCCCTCCTGTCTCATCCCATGGTGACAGGACGTGGATGCTGCTGCCTTGGCTCGCCTGGACCTGGAACGGCGCGTGGGGACCCTGCAGGAGGAGATCTCCTTCCTGCACAAGGTGCACGAGGAGGTAACGCTGCTCGCGGAGCCCAGGGGAAGGGGGGGTCCCGGCCCTGGCCAGGTGTGGGGGGGTCCCACTGACCATTGCTGTGCCCCCAGGAGCTGCGGGAGCTGCAGGAGCAGTCGGCCCCACAGCGGGTGCACGTCGAGGCGGACACGAGCAAGCCCCAGCTCGCGGCTGCCCTGCGTGACCTCCGCAGGCAGTACGAGGCCGTGGCCACCGGCACCGCGCAGGAGACCGAGGAGTGGTACAAGTCCAAGGTGCGGTAGAAGCCAAGCACCCAATGGACGGGTGGCCTGGATGTGCCCTTCGTAGGGCAAGGTTGGATGGGGCTTGGAGCAAGCTGCTCCAGTGGAAGGGGTCCCTGCCCGTGGCTGGGGTTGGAGCTGGAGGAGCTTTAAGGTCCCTTCCAACCCAAACCACTGTATGATTTATGGTACATGTGGTTTGGGGTCCTCGCTGTCTCTGTTTGTGTCTCACGTCCTGGTTTGGTCCCTGTGGGGAGCAGGGATGTGTCCCCTGTGGTAACTCATGTAGGCACGGTCCCTAAGGATTGTGAGGCATCACCCACGTGCACCATCCCACAGGAGCAGGGACACATCCCCTGTGACATCCCAAGGCACCATCCCTCCCACCCGCAGGGCTGGGGCACGTCCCCAGCAGTTGCCATCAGGGATGTGTCCCACATCCCCTGTCCCATCAGTTCAAGAGCCCAGGGACATGCTCCCACAACACGTGCCATCAGCCATGTGCACTGCTCCTTCCACCCATGGTAGCAGGGACGTGTCCCAGCACCACACGCACTGGGGGCACATCCTGCGTGCGCTGTCCCTTCCTCCCATGGGAGCAGGGATGTGTCCCCATGATGTGGGGCTGGGATGTCCTCAGGACCCTTTGTGCTGCAGGAACAGGGACGTGCCCCCAGTGCCACCAAGCCCATGTCCCATGTGAGCATGGACACATCCCCAGCGGCACTGGGGGTTAGGGTCAGGGTTAGGGTCAGGGTTGGGTTAGGGTCAGGGTTAGGGTTAGGGTTAGGGTCAGGGTTAGCGTCAGGGTCAGGTTTAGGGTTAGGGTCAGGTTTAGGGTGAGGGTCAGGGCTAGTGTCAGAGTTAGGGTCAGGGTTAGGGTCAGGGTTAGGGTCAGGGTTAGGGTCAGGGTCAGGGGTAGGGTCAGGGTTAGGGTTAGGGTTAGGGTTAGGGTCAGGGTTAGGGTCAGAGTCAGGGTTAGGGTCAGGGTTAGGGTCAGGGTCAGGGGTAGGGTCAGGGTTAGGGTTAGGGTTAGGGTTAGGGTTAGGGTCAGGGTTAGGGTCAGAGTCAGGGTTAGGGTTAGGGTTAGGGTTTGGGTTAGGGTTAGGGTTAGGGTTAGGGTTAGGGTTAGGGTCAGGGTCAGGTTTAGGGTTAGGGTCATGTTTAGGGTGAGGGTCAAGGCTAGTGTTAGAGTTAGGGTCAGGGTTAGGTTTAGGGTTGGGGTTGGTGTTAGGGTCGCTGTAGGGTTAGGGTCAGGGTTAGGTTTAGGGTCAGGGTTAGGTTCAGGGTCAGGGTTAGGTTCAGGGTCAGGGTTAGGGTCAGGTTTAGGGTTAGGGTCAGGTTTAGGTTTAGCGTCAGGTTTGGGGTTAGGGTTAGGGTGAGGTTCAGGGTTAGGTTTAGGGTCATTATTATTGTCAGGTTAGGGTCAGGTTTAGGGTTAGGGTTAGCGTCCGTGTCAGGTTTAGAATTAGTGTCAGTGTTAGGGTTTGGGTCTGGGTTTTGATTAGGTTGGGGTGTAGATTTATGCTTTGAATTAGGGTCAGGGTCAGGGTTAGGGTTAGGGTTAGGGTAACTATTAGTTTTTGTGTTATGTTTTGGTTCAGGTGATCTTTCCATGCCCTGTGCCCCAGGGCAGGCTTTGTGTATCCATGCCCTTGCACACGTTGCTCCCCGCAGTTTGCAGACCTGTCGGATGCGGCCGCCCGCGGTGCTGAGGCTCTGCGCGGAGCCAAGCAGGAGGCCAACGAGTACCGGCGCCAGCTCCGGGCCCTCTCCTGCGTCCTGGAGGCTTTGCGGGGCTCGGTAGGTGATGGGTGCGCGGCACGAGGGGGGAACCTGTCCTCGGCCCCCGCCGCGGCGGTGCCGCCCTGCGCTGGGTCCCCAAGGCCGGAGGTGCAGGGGTGCCGTGGGGGTGTCCCCAGAACGGGTCCCTGGAGCGGCAGCTGCGGGCGCTGCGGGAGCGCTGCGCGCTGGAGGCGGCCGCGCACCGGGACGCGGTGCTGCGGCTGGAGGAGGACGCCCGCGGCCTCGAGGAGGGGATGGCGCGGCAGCTGCAGGAGTACCAGGACCTGCTCAGCATCAAGCTGGCCCTCGACGTGGAGATCGCCGCCTACCGCAGGCTGCTGGAGGGCGAGGAGAGCAGGTGGGGGCGGAGGGGGCTCCGTCCTGCTCCTCTCCCCATCCCCAGCCATGCCCCGAGCCAAGACCCAGCCCTGGGCAGGCTGGAGCCTGTGCTGAGGGCAGCAGGACCCTATTGCTCCCCCGTTGCTCCTGCAGGATCACCATCCCTGGGCAGAGCTTCTCTACCCTGCAGATCCGAAGTGAGCCTGGGGCTATGCATGGGGCAGGATGGAGGCACAAGGAGGGGCTCTGTGGGAGAAGATGCCACCTTGACTGTCCCTGCCCCATCCAGAGAGGGTTCCTGCCAGGGAGCCAGGGCTCCTCGGTTTCCCCAAGTTGTGGGGGGAGCGTCCCATGGCCACATCCCCAAGGCTGAGCATGTCCCAAGGCCAGTGATGTCCCCAGGACTGTCCAAATCACTGTGTCTCCAGTGCCAATGACATCCCCAAGGCCAACTGTGTTCCTCAGTGCCAGCTGCATCCTCAAGGACAGCCCTGTCCTCAAGTCCAAATCACATCCCAAAGCCACGATGTCCCCATTGCCAACCCCATCTCTAAGGCCAAACATGTCCCCAGTGCCTACTGTGTCCCCAAAGCTGATCCCATCCCAAAGCCAGCCCCATCCTCAGTGCTAAGCACATCCCCGAGGCCAACTGCATCCCCAGCTGCATCCCACAGGATGTCCCTGTGACTGGTCATGTCCCCAGGGCAGCTGTGTCCCAAGGTGGTTTAGGGATTTCCAGCCCAATGTGTTTCCTTTGGGCCTGTCCACCTGAGCATGGCTGGAAGGGCTCTACCCCGGGCACTGGGTCACTGCCATGTCCTGTCCATGTGCCCTAGAGACCAGCCTGGACACTAAATCCACGTCAGAAGCCCACGTGAAGAGGAGCATCGTGGTCAAAACTGTGGAGACCAGAGATGGAGGGGTGGGGTTTCCTCATCCATGTCACTCGTGCTGCCTCCCCTCCACCCCTGCCTCCCATGGGGTGTCCCCAAGGGGACACGCACATGGGGCTGCCATCCCTCAGCCCCAGGAGCCGGTGATCCCAGTGCCCTGAGAGCAGGGCATGGGCTGCCTCTGGATGTGGTGGAGCCGAGCCTGGCAGCTCATAGGGGAAACCATCCCTGTCCCCAGGCTCATTCAGAGCCCAGCAGGCTCAGCTGGAGCCAGGTGGAGGGTGATGGTGCAGGGTGATGGCGCAGGGTGATGGAGCAGCATGATGGTGGTGCAGGGTGATGGTGGTGCAGGGTGATGGTGGTGCAGGGTGATGGTGGTGCAGGGTGATGGCGCAGGGTGATGGCGCAGGGTGATGGTGCAGGGTGATGGTGCAGGGTGATGGTGGTGCAGGGTGATGGTGGTGCAGGGTGATGGTGCAGGGTGATGGTGGTGCAGGGTGATGGCGCAGGGTGATGGTGGTGCAGGGTGATGGCGCAGGGTGATGGGGCAGGGTGATGGTGGGGCAGGGTGATGGGGCAGGGTGATGGCACAGGGTGATGGCACAGGGTGATGGCGCAGGGTGATGGGGCAGGGTGATGGTGGTGCAGGGTGATGGCACAGGGTGATGGCGCAGGGTGATGGCGCAGGGTGATGGTGGGGCAGGGTGATGGGGCAGGGTGATGGGGCAGGGTGATGGTGGGGCAGGGTGATGGCGCAGGGTGATGGGGCAGGGTGATGGTGGGGCAGGGTGATGGTGCAGGGTGATGGTGCAGGGTGATGGTGGTGCAGGGTGATGGCGCAGGGTGATGGCGCAGGGTGATGGTGCAGGGTGATGGTGGTGCAGGGTGATGGGGCAGGGTGATGGCGCAGGGTGATGGTGGTGCAGGGTGATGGCACAGGGTGATGGCGCAGGGTGATGGGGGTGCAGGGTGATGGGGCAGGGTGATGGCACAGGGTGATGGTGGGGCAGGGTGATGGGGCAGGGTGATGGTGGGGCAGGGTGATGGCACAGGGTGATGGGGCAGGGTGATGGGGCAGGGTGATGGTGCAGGGTGATGGTGCAGGGTGATGGGGCAGGGTGATGGTGCAGGGTGATGGCACAGGGTGATGGGGCAGGGTGATGGCGCAGGGTGATGGTGGGGCAGGGTGATGGTGGTGCAGGTGATGGGGCAGGGTGATGGTGCAGGGTGATGGTGATGCAGGGTGGTGGTGCAGGGTGATGGGGCAGGGTGATGGGGCAGGGTGATGGTGTGCAGGGTGATGGTGATGCAGGGTGATGGTGCAGGGTGATGGTGGTGCAGGGTGATGGGGCAGGGTGATGCTGGTGCAGGGTGGTTGTGCAGGGTGATGGTGCAGGGTGATGGGGATGCAGGGTGATGGTGCAGGGTGATGGGGATGCAGGGTGATGGTGCAGGGTGATGGTGCAGGGTGATGGGGCAGGGTGATGGGGCAGGGTGATGGTGGTGCAGGGTGATGGTGCAGGGTGATGGTGGGGCAGGGTGATGGTGCAGGGTGATGGGGCAGGGTGATGGGGCAGGGTGATGGGGCAGGGTGATGGCGATGCAGGGTGATGGGGCAGGGTGATGGTGTGCAGGCTGATGGCACAGGGTGATGGTGATGCAGGGTGATGGTGCAGGGTGATGGTGCAGGGTGATGGTGCAGGGTGATGGCACAGGGTGATGGTGCCCCTCCTTCTTGCCTCCAGGTGCTGAAGGAGCCCAAGCAGGAGCCCAAGGAGCTGGTGTAGAGCGGGTGCCTGCAGCAGCCGCACGCTTGTAGGTGTAGCTCCATAGGTCCCATCCTATGCTGCGAGGGAGCCCCAGGAGGAGCTGGTGGTGCTTCAGTGGGGACATCTCCCTCCCACCCACCCCTTGTATCTCCCACATCCTCCCCTGCCCCAGGGACATCGCTGACACCCTGCTTGGAGCTGGCTCCCAGCAGAGCACCCGTCTGGCTGGGGATGGACAGTACCCAAGGGGGGTGAACAGAACAGGGCAGAGCTGACGTTCCCAATAGGGATGCTACCACATTCCCATGGCATGGAGGGGCTGGTGGATTTGGGGCCTGCATCCCACCTTGCTGCCCTCTGCCTGCCCTGGGAGGTCACCCCAAATCTCCCCAGTGCATCCAGACCCTGAGTACCCTTGGTGCTGGGGGGCTGCAGGGTGCAAGGTACCGGCTGGTCAGGGACGTTTCCCCATCACCAAGCATGGGGTGAGCTTAGCCAAGAGGTATGGGCAGGAGGAAGAGGAGGATGGAGAGGCAGGGTGCTGTCGGGATGATGTTAAAGGGGAATGAAATGAGGATAATGAGGGATTCCTAGGGATGAGGATGGGATGCTGGGGTGTCCGGGCTGCTCTGTGGGGCTGAAGCAGTGGTGGGTGGCCACAAGGGCTTCTCCTGGCACAGACCTGCCCTGCATTGGGTGTCCACCACCGCCGTTCCCTATGATCATGGTGAGGAGAAACAGTCCCAAGGGACTCATGGCAAGGGGTGACCCATGGCCCTGGGGGGGTCCCAGGCAGGTGAAAATGGAGCGGGGGGTGACAGGAGAAGGGCAAATGGAGCCATCCCCATCCTGCCTGTCCCACTGGGAGCCAGGGGGACTGGGATTGGGGCTGCCCCAGTCAATCCCTGCCGTGCATGGAGCCTGAGCCTGCCCTCAGAGCAGGCACCCAAGGAATGGATGGGATGGGAGGAATCCCTTGTCCTCGGGCTCCACGTGGCTCTGTCCCCACACCTGTACTCCTGTTCTCCCCCCCTGGACCAGCACGTGCCATCACCCAGCCTGGTGCTCCCCTGCAGCCTCTACACCCACCTGCACCACGAGCAAAACCTGCCCTGATGCCACCTAACACAGGAGCAACAACCTGCAAGCCCTTTGGGGTGAGCACATGGGATTCCACTCGGATGCCATCCCCTCCTCCCTTCCGTCCCCCTCGTCCCCTGGCTCCGGTGCTGAGCATGCTTTGCCACCGCCGACACCAAAGGCCATTCCCAAGGGCAGATGCCTCAGGAGATGGGTGCTGCCCGGGTTTGGCATCGGGGGTGGGATGGTGGCGGCCCGGGGGGCTCAGTCCCCTGCGAGCTGGAGCTTTGCAGCCCACGTTGCTGCTGAATTAATGCACTAACACCCGCAGGAGCTTGAGAGGAGAAATAAAGCTAAACCCAGTGCTCTGCTTCCACGTTCTGCCTGCAACCGCCTCTCCACAGCCAGGGCTGTGAGTTAGATGGGATCAGTCGGGGTGGAAAGGCCCTTTGGGAGCTCAAACTGAGTTCAAAGCCATCAGGGGACACAAGCTTGGTGCTGTACCCCAAGGCATGGCCGATGCTTCATGGGTCAACACCTGTGAGGGACCCTGGATGCCGCCCTCCTGGACAGAGGGGTTTCTCTTGGGAAAGCCAAAATCCCTCAGCCACATCCTCAAGCACGGGTGATGAGGAAGTCCTGCTCCAGGCCACCGAAACCCTGTGGAGATGCCATCCTCTTTGGAGGCCATGCATGGTAGTTGTGTCAGGCGTAACTATTGACTCCCAAGCTGGTGCTGAGTCAGGGGAGTTCAAAGCAACCAAAACCCAGAGAAATTTCTTCGGAGAATCAACAGATTGATTTGAAAAATTTAAAAAAAATAAAAATAAAAAAAATAAAAGACTTTTCAGAAATGGAACTAAAAACTGATGAAACCTGGGTCTGCAGAAAGGGCTCGCTCCAGCTGGGGAGCTCAAAGGAGCATTGAACAGTTTGAAGTGTTGGCACTCCGAGTTCTCAGCAAACAAACAGGGTAAGGAAAGCCAGGATTAATTGGATTTAAATGGGTTGATGGGTGGTTTTAGCAGCCTTTTAGCAACCCAGCTCTAATAAATCACTGATGTGTTTTGAGAACTCTGTAGAGCTTGGCCAGAGGATCCTGCACCAACTCCAGGAACTCTTTTGGAAGGGACTATATTGAGCTTAAAACCCCACCAGAAGCCAGCAGCAGAGCCAGGAACAAACAGTGCTGGTGTGAAATCCCCTCGTGTCCCTGCTAAGCCAATCTGCAGCACGAGGAGTTTTCCACATTGGGGCCTCTCCATCACTCTCTGGACCCAGCAGGGAGGCTGAGCAGCTGCCAGAATTCCTGCTCGGAACACCAGGAATTTCCAATGGGAGAATGGTCCGAGGGGTAAGAGCGTCCCATTGGGGCCACGCTGGAGATGCTGGGTTCAGACAGGGCCCCTCAGCGCCCGCCAGCAGCACTGGCACACGTGGATGACGACGAAGAGGATGCTGATGATGATGTAGCTGATGCCGATGATGCGCATGGCGTAGATGGTCTCGGGGTCTTGGAGCGAGCGCCGGCGCCGGACCTGGTGGAACACGCTGAGCCGGAAGCCAGCCACCATCTCGCCCTCCCGCCAGCAGAAATAGGTGCCTCTATCCCTGCTCCGGACCCGCTGGATGTGCAGGTGGTTGCCGTGGTCAATGAAGACCCGCATGGTCTTGTTGACATGGATGAGGTAGTGGGAGAGGTAGAGCCGCACGGAGTCCTTGTCCCAGGCCACGGCATGCTCGGGCCGGGCTCCTGGGCACGCGATGATCAGGTCGGTTCCAATGGGCTGCTTGTGGAACTGGGTGGGGACATGGGGCAGCCAGGGCTTCCTACCCAGCTTGGAAATGATATTGGAGATGGTCTGCACACCTTCCTCGGGGACCTCGTCCGTCCGGCAAGGGGTCACGCAGCTTCGGATGGCCACCTCGGGGCTTCGGAGGTGGCTCAGGCTCTGGAAGCGAGCGGGGACAGCCTTGGAGCCACAGGACGTGACGTTGGGCACAGCAGCACGGTAGCGGGGGTGCAGCTGGGCTGTCTGCACGTAGCAGAGCCCGATCCGCCGCTGCTCGCCTCTCACCCCGCAGCGGTCACACCGAGTCCAGTCCCAGAAGGTGGTGAAGAGGTTGATGAGCTGCCCCATGCGGTCATCCTGGACGTGCTGGCCTTTGTCCTCAAAAGCCACCACGATGGACTTGGTGGGCTGCACGTCCACGTCGTAGCCGTAGAAGAAGTCCCCTTCCTTAGTGCCACACAGGTAGTGCCCTGAGTCTGTCGCCTGGGCTCGGAAGACGATGAGGCTAAACATCCGGATGCTGAAACGCTTCAGCATGTCACTGCCGGCGTGGATGTGGCCTGAGTCCACGATCATGTTGCCAGCAAAGTCCGTCAGGACCGTGGTTTTACGGCTGCCCATGTTCTTCTGGAAATACCAGGTGACAGAAGAGACCTCTTCAGGCTTGCACTTGCAAGGGAGCTCGAAGGTCATGTCAGCCAGGTAAGCGGCGTTGTCGAACATCAGGAAAGCAGGACAAGCCATTCTCTTGAACACATCTCCCTTCTCTTCAATCGCAAAAGCATGGAGAACATCTACCAGGCAGAGGAGAAGAGCAGCTCCCGGCAGCCCTGTCCCCATCGCACCGCACAGCCTCTGCAGCCCCCACGTCCTCCGCAGGGAGGGCAGGAAGCCTCAGCAGCGTCAGTGCCAGGCAGGGACGATGCACACACCAGCTCAGATGGGGTTTGCAAATGACCCCCTGCCTTCAGTGCACACGGCTGATAGCAGGGATCAAACAGCAGCTGAAATATCCCATTCCAGCCCTCTGGGAAGCCCTCTGAACAACCCTGGGGCAGGCTGTTCCCTGGGACACGGGCTCTAGAACCCTCCCTCTTCCCAGCTGCTCTGGAGTGTTGTGACTATGAGCTGGCAGCTCCTTTGTGCAGCGATGGGGAGCGTGGTGGCAACAGGGGAATTGCCACCATCTTCTTGAAAGTCTCAGTTGCAGTGAATGTTAATCATTGCTCTGAACCCTCCAAGTACAGTGAACCCAGAGAAGACCCTCCTCTGATGGCAGATGACCTCCATAGCCCAGAAGAAGAGGTCTCAAACATGGTAGTTAGACTTTTACATCTTCTCTGATGGCTTTCCAAGGGCTTTGTGTGCCAAAGCTCCTCCACACAGGTAATGTTTGAGACTCCCCCCCTGCATCTAAGATACTCTCACAGAGCTCTCTGTGAGGACACCCTGCCCCAAAGATCACAACGCAGTCCTCTCAGTAACCAACCTTTATTTGTGCAGAACTATTGCTCTGGGTGGCTCCCAGGTACAGAGAAAGGTACAGCAGTGCTCCAGAAGTATCCGATTTATCCCCCTCTCACACAGCAATGCCAAAGTCAAGCTTTGAGCCTCTGTTTGTGCTCTATTTTTGCACGATTCTGGTGCTTCTGCTCCTTCAGTTGATCTGGTAACACTTCATCAACTCCAGCACTCTCCTTTCCTCCTCGGTTTCCTTTTGCAAGCTGGCATCCATGAGGCTGCCTTCCTGCTCTGCTTCGCAGCCGGCTGTGCTGCTGGGATGGCCGGCGGTCCAATCCCCCCTGCTCATGCTCCACAGCTTCCTAAACAAATCCCTGCTGCTCTCCTTCTCCAGCTCGCTCAGAAGATCCAGGTTTAACCCGAAGCGCTTGGTGCCCGAAAGGCTCTGTAGGATCTGAAGGATGGCATCTCTGTCTTCATGACAGACATTCTCTGCCAGCACCGTCAGAAATTCACCCAGGAGGCCATAGCCCAAGTCAGCCTGAAAGATTCTGCCCAAGGCCTCCCCTCCCAGCGCCAGCAGAAACTGGTATTTCAGTTTTCTGCTTTTTAAGCATCTGCGCCAATCTCTGTGAAATTCAGCAGAGGTTCCAGGCAGTCCATCCAGTTCCTGAAAGAAAAAGTAGTTCCTTCGATTTTGTTCCCACTGATGATTTGCATCCTTCCTCCCCCCGGCCCCGAACAACCTGTGCATGGCTGAGATGTCTTTAACAGACGCTTATAGCACAAAGGGCTGCATAAAGCTTGTGGGGTGGCAAAACAAAGACAAGGAACTACCATTTCTGGTTTCTGTGGGGTTCCTTGAGCCCCATAGAAACCAGAGGACTTCAGAGAAAATAAAGGAAGAATGGATGAGGCATGAAATGTGGTGTGGATAAACAGACCAAGAGTGGAGTGACCCCAATCCTAACCAGAACCAGACATGCTGCCTGCTGCGGATCCATCACTGCTGCTCGGGAAGGGAGCTCCTGGTGATCAGGGTAGCTCAGTAGAAAGCTCTGCTCCACCTCGAGCACTGTGAGGCAAATCAGAGGAGTAAAGAGATGAAAGAGGTAAGATGTAACCCCCAGAAAAGACGCAGATGGCTCTCCCCCACCGTCTTGTAACAGACTGCATTCATAGGGGTCTCTGGCAAGAGCTTGCACTACAAGAGAGCCAAGCTCAATGTGGGATTCCCAGATAAAAGAAAATCCTGTTTTATACAACATGCAATTGAACGGCTGAACTCATCACCGCCGACTTCTGTAACTAACACACAGACTGAAGGAGCATTAAAATGTTTAGGCTTTCATCCAGAGAGCAAGAACAAGGCCCAGCAACATCAGGCTGTGTCGGAACACAAACCGGAGAAGCCCTGGAGATCAGAGCCCAGGCGCTAATGGGATTAGGAACAGGATTTGCTCTGGGGAGATCATTGCTCATGCTAAGAAAACACAAAGCTGCCTAGAGGAGTTGCAGAAACATCTCATAATAAACAGGCAAATTAGGTTCAGTGTCAAAAAAATCAGAGAATCGTAGAATCATGGAATGGTTTGGGTTGGAAAGGAGCTTAAAGCTCATCCAGTTCCACCCCCCTGCCCTGGGCAGGGACCCCTTCCACTGGAGCAGCTTGCTCCAAGCCCCTGTGTCCAACCTGGCCTTGAACACTGCCAGGGATGGGGCAGCCACAGCTTCTCTGGGCACCCTGTACCAGCGCCTCAGCACCCTCACAGGTAAGAGCTTTGTCCTTAGATCCAGCCTGAACTTCCCCTGTTTCAGTTTGAACCCATCACCCCTTGTCCTATCACTATGGACCCTAATGAAGAATCCCTCCCCAGCATCCTTGTAGGCCCCCATCAGATCCTGGAAGGCTGCTATGAGGTCACCACACAGCCTTCTTTCCCAGGCTGATCAGCCCCAACTTTCTTAGCCTGCCTCCATGTGAATCATCCCCAGGAATCATCCTTGTCTATACATCCAGTGACCAGGACATTCCAGCGTGGGCAGAGTCCAACGGTGAGGGCAGGATAGATGCCACTCCAATCACAAATGACCCAGATAGAAGATGTTTAGACACCATTTCACACAACTGGAGAACTAAGGAGCATCCAGCGAACTCCTCAGGCAGCAGGTTTGGAACAAAAGAACACTTTTCCCATCGTTAAACCACGGGATGAGGAAGCGCTGGCTACGCTCTCGGTCTGTAGCTATTAAACTTGATGCTCCAGATGCACAACCCTGGCTCCTGGTCTCTAAACCGCAGCCAGCTGGAAAAGTGCAGTCAAGGGAGGGCACTCTTCCCTAAGAATCTGTTCCTGGCCACCACCAGAGGCAGGGCACTGGGAGCTCTGCAGCTGGCCTTGGATTCCCACAAGGTTGAAGCAGATTCTTGAGGCAGGTGGTGCAAGCTCTTCTCAGGCACAAAGTAGTGGGCAAGGATGAGCCCTGTGGTTATGCAAGCACCAATGCTCCCAGGGACTTTGAGGGCTTGCTCATGGGTAGAGATACTGCTGAATAACATGCATTTTAAGAGAATACCCCAAATTATTTTGGAGTGATGTTTAGGTGTGGATAAAGGCCTGGAGAGCATCTCTCTCACCTGGGGTATTTCCACATCACTGGCTTGCGGCGCCTTGGCATGGGCTGCACAGGGGTTCCACAGCACGCTCCTCCTCTGGCCCATCTTGTCCTTTTTCTCTAGGGGCTTGAGGTGTGATGCCAGCACGATGTTCCTGCAGGCAACAAGAAGGGCAAGGGATGCTTAGCAAGAGCAAACGCTCCGAGGCTTCAAGCTTCTTCTCTGAGGCAATTTCTCAGTTTGGATCATAGCGACCTGGACCGGCTGCAGGAGTGAACACAGACTGGAGGAAGGGTGCTCAGGCATTGGAACAGGCTGCCCAGGGCAGTGCTGGAGTCACCATAGAATCGTAGAATAGTTCGGGTTGGAAAGGACCTTAAGATCATCCGGTTCCAACCCCCCTGCCAGGGGCAGGGACACCTCACACTAAACCATGGCACCCAAGGCCTCGTCCAACCTGGCCTTGAACACTGCCAGGGATGGAGCATTCACAACCTCCCTGGGCAACCCATTCCAGTGCCTCAGCACCCTAACAGGAAAGGATTTCCTCCTTATATCCAATCTAAACTTCCCGTTTCAGTTTTAACCTGTTACCCCTTGTCCCATCACTCCAGTCCCTAATGAAGAGTCCTTCCCCAGCATCCCTATAGCCCCCTTCAGACACTGGAAGCTGCTCTGAAGTCTCCACGCAGCTTCTCTTCTCCAGGCTGAACAGCCCCAACTTCCCCAGCCTGTCTTCATACAGGAGCTGCTCCAGCCCCTGATCATCCTCGTGGCCTCCTCTGGACCTGTTCCAACAGCTCCATGTCCTTTTTATGTTGAGGACACCAGAACTGCACACAATACCTGCACACCATCCCTGCAAGCGTTCACACCCCGTGGAGACGAGCCCTCGTGCCATGGGTCAGCGGTGGCCTTGGCAGTTGGACTGCATGAGCTTAAAGGGCTTCTCCCACCCGGTTGACTCCAGGACTCTGTGATTCCCGGGGCCCCGCACCGGGCTTGGGGCGCTCACAAGCGCAGTGACCTCCTCTCTCCAGAGCCCTTGGAGCTCCAGACCCCATCCCTGCGGCTGTGCTCGGCCCCAGGGCAGGAGCGCCCGGTGCTGACGGAGCCCTTTGGGGTGGGACCCCCCCCGCTCCTGCCGGGGGTCCCCGTCCGACCTGAACTGCTCGTAGGAGGGAAGGCGCTGCCGCAGGGCGCGCAGCTTGGCCGCGTTCTCCCTGTCCCGACGCTCGTCCTCCGCCACCGCCGCCCGCAGCTCCCGCTCCAGCGCCCGCGGGTCCACGGCCCCTTCCGCATCCATCCCGGATGGAGCTCAGCGACCTGCGGGGGACAGGGACACCCCTGGGTGCGCTCCTGTCGTGACAACCCCACTCCTATTGTGACAGTCCTGCCTTGGGGACGCCACTCCTATTGCTCCGCGAGGACGCCACTCCTATTGCTCCTGTCGTGACAACCCCACTCCTATTGTGACAGTCCTGCCTTGGGGACGCCACTCCTATTGCGATAGCTCCGCGAGGCCCTGATGCACCTCCAGTCCCTGAGGCTCTATCGCAATAGTCCCACCAGGCCATGTGAACCCCCGGCTCTGGGAACCTTCGCTCTCTCGCGACAGCCCAGTCAAACCACGCGCACCACCGGCACAGGGAACTCTGTCGCGACAGCCTTCCCAGGCTGCCGGTACTGGGAACCTTTGCTCTACAGCGACAGCCCCACCAAGCCACGTGCACCGCCGGCACTGAGAGCCCTCGCTCTATCGCGACAGACCTCCCAGGCTGCCGGCAACAGGAACCTTCACTCTATCGCGACAGCCCCCCCCCCCCCCAGGCTGCCGGCAATAGGAACCTTCGCTCTATCGCGACAGCCCGCCCCCAGGCTGCCGGCACTAGGAACCTTCACTCTATCGCGACAGCCCTCCCCCAGGCTGCCGGCACTAGGAACCTTCACTCTATCGCGACAGCCCTCCCCCAGGCTGCCGGCACTAGGAACCTTCGCTCTATCGCGACAGCCCTCCCCCAGGCTGCCGGCACTAGGAACCTTCGCTCTATCGCGACAGCCCTCCCCCAGGCTGCCGGCACTAGGAACCTTCGTTCTATCGCGACAGCCCTCCCCCAGGCTGCCGGCACTAGGAACCTTCGCTCTATCGCGACAGCCCTCCCCCAGGCTGCCGGCACTAGGAACCTTCGCTCTATCGCGACAGCCCTCCCCCAGCCTGCCGGCACTAGGAACCTTCGCTCTATCGCGATAGCCCTCCCCCAGGCTGCCGGCAACAGGAACCTTCGCTCTATCGCGATAGCCCCGCCACCCCCAGCCGAGCTCCAGCCACGCGCGCGGGCTCCCCTTCCGTCGCCATAGCGACAGGGCAGCGCCCCCGAGGCCCCCGCGGGGCTGTCCCGACCGCGCCTGACGGACCCGGTACCGACCGCACCCGACAGACCCGGCCCCGGCCCGCGGCCACCGGGACCCCGCCGAGACCGGACCCGGCTTCGTCCCGTCCCCCGCGGAGCGCGTCGCTGACGGAGGACAGGGGGCGCTCCTTGGTGACCGGCGGCGCGGGCAGCCCTGGGGCCTTCCGCAGCGGTGTCGGCGGCGCCGGAGGCGAGGGCAACGCGGAGGGTGAGCGCTGTGCCGGGGCCGGGGTAGGCCCGGAGGGGCAGCGGGGAAGGCGGAGGGCGCTCGGCGGGCCGGGGCCGGGAGCGCTTTGTGCGTGCGGCAGAGCCGGAGCCCTGCCTGAGCCCCTCCCGCCCGCAGCATGGACACGGACCTGTACGACGAGTTCGGGAACTACATCGGGCCCGAGCTGGACTCGGACGATGACGACGATGAGATGGGCCGGGAGTCCAAGGACCTGGATGAGGTGAGCGGGGGGCACGGGGCGAGGGGCAGCGGCCCACGGGAGCAGGGGACGAGCACCGCGGGCTCCCTGAGCTGGCAGTGATTCCTTTTGCATGCTGGGCCCTGGCCCTGCAGTGGTGGAGTTTGAGTCCTAAGGATCCAGAGGGATCTAGTTAAAGATCACAGGGGGGTTGGACAGGTAAGCTTTGAAGGTTCATTCCAACCCCAGCTATTCCACGATTCTGAGAGTGGAGTTGGTTTGTAAAGGATTCAGGAAAAGCTGCCCTCCTGTTCCTGGGGTAACGGGAGAGACAAAGTTCCTGTTGGAGTCACAGAGCAGGGAGCTTCTGCACCTCCAGCTGTATTTGGCTTTTGGAGGTTCTGCATCCCTTCAGTGAGGTCTTCAGGCCTTTAGTGCCAGTGCTGCAGCAGCGTGGCCAGGAGCTGTGTTCTGCAGTGCTAAAGGCAGAGCAGGCTCCACAGGCACCAGAGGAGAGCGGCAAGGGCAGGGGGGACAGCAGAAGTTCCCTGGCTGGGTTGTGGCTCTCTTTCACTGTATGACACCAAGCCTGTGCCTTCTGGGCTGACTGGTGTTTGTAAAGCACTTCGGTGCAGGCAGCAGCTCAGTGTGAGCATTGGTTGCAGCTCGACGATGATGACGATGATGATGATATGGGGGACCATGATGAGGACCACCCTGGGATGGACGTGGTGCTGCATGAGGATAAGAAGTACTATCCCACCGCTGAAGAGGTCTATGGGCCCGAAGTAGAGACAATTGTACAAGAGGAAGACACGCAGCCTCTCACTGGTAAGTGGTGTGGAAGCAGCAAGTTGGGTATGGAGGGAGAAGACTCTTGATGGATCCTTGGAAAAGAGGAACTAATATTCCCTTCCCTTCTCCCCACTGGTTTTAATGCCCCTTTCAAATTCCCTTTAGCCCCAGGAGCACATTGACTCTTGCTTGTCCAGCGGTGTGCAGGGTTTGGCACTTGGGATTATTACAAATGCCAAACAATGTTTTAAAGAGCAGATACTCAGCAGATCCTGTCAAGATCTTGAAGAAGAAATGAAAACGTGTTCAAGTCATCTCATTTGTTCCTTCTGTAGTAGAACAGTTTGGTTGGCAGGGTCCTGCGATGATCGTCTGGTACAACTGCTTTTATTTAGGAAAGCTAAGAGCATCTGTCAGCTTGAAAACTGTGTATCTGTGTGGGTCCCTGTGCCCTCTGGCTGTTTCTGAGCCAGCTGGGTTCAGGGGCTCTGGTAACTGCGTTCATTGTTCTTCCTCTTGTTTCCAGAGCCTATTATTAAACCTGTGAAAACCAAAAAGTTCTCTCTGATGGAACAGACGTTACCGGTCACTGTCTATGAGATGGAGTAAGTAACAGAGAGGGGTTTAAGGGTGGCCGGTGGCTGTGGTCCCTCACTCTTGCTTGCTTGCAGGCAAAGGCAGAGGGAGGCAGAGTGATGCGTGCTGTGTGGAGGAGGCACATTGCAGGGGACATTGGTTTTGTTTCTTACTGATAGCACAGTAGAGCTGAGGGCAGCCATTTGCAAGGTTTTTGCCCCAAAACCGAGTGGAAGGCAGTAGCAGATTAACCATTTGACAGTTATTTTCCCTCCACAATATGCAGCACAGTGCAGGGTTTTCTGAAGTAGAATGTAATTTAACCTTGGCAGCTGATCTAGAGCTTGGTAATGGGAAACCTCTGTGGGGCAGTTTTGCTGAAGGCAGATTTCCTTCACTGGCTCAAGAAGTACTTACACGGTCAGTATGTAGCACACCTCAGATTGGGGCATTTTAGGTTGATCCCTGTGACCGTTGGCCTCCTGCTGTCTCAAATTAATTCCTATGTATCCTGGAGGAAACCTGCTCTAGTGGAAGGTGTCCCTGCCCATGGCAGGGGTTGGAACTGGATGAGCTTTAAGTTCCCTTCCAGCCCAAACCAGTCTGGGATTCTATGAATTTCCGTGCTGCTGGATATAATATCTCACCCAACTTTGTTAAGGAATAAAACCTGTTGTTGACTTCCTGTATTAAAAATATAAGCTCAGCATCGACGTCTGTTGTCGCTGGGTGGAGGGGCTCTGTATCCTCACATAGTGTTTCTATACGTTGTCTTCTATTTGAGGATGAACAGATTGAGCTGCGTGAGTGTCTCATAAGCTCCTCTTTCCACATGCCCCTTTGTGGCTAGTCAGAGCCTGTTCCAGCTTTTAACTGTTGTATTCAAGTGGAGATCCCAGAGCTGGATGCAGGGTGAGCAGCAGCTCCCTGTGTGCCAGGCCCCAGCGGGAGCTGTCCCTCTTCCTCCCAGTGAGGATCCTTTATTTTCCAGCAACAGAATTTCACTGGAGTTTGTATTCACTCACTTGGGTACTTGGATGTCTGGGATCTTTATGGAACGGCTGCTTCTTGGGGCTGTTCCCTGATACTGTCAGTATGGCTGTGCTCGTTTATCCAAGAGGTCTTTGATATAGCCAGATAGGAACTGAAGAGCCTGCTGGGTCTTATTTCCTTAAGCAATTCATTTTGCTCTTGGTCAATGTCCTGTACTCTTCATCAGCCACCCTTTTCGTGATCCCTGTGTCCTCTGCTCATTCCATCTGTAATGAATTCCTCCTGTTTGTTGATGTAAATGGTTAGGATGGCACCAAGAGAAATTCCTTGTGGGACTTAGCCAGAAACCTGCAAGCTTGGTATTGATTTCCCATTTAGCCTTATTTTCAGACCAATAAGCAAGATTTTAGTCTGTATTATTATTGATTTTTGCATTTATTTTTTAGCTCTTAATCCAAATTTTGCATGTTAAAAAGTCAACCACATCAGGGAAAATTAAATCTTTGTAAAATGAGATTATTTGACAGCCCTTTATTTCCTGTAGACCCATAGCACTGGATCCATGTTTGTAGCTTCCAGTTATTTTTTAGGGTAGTTGGGAATTTGGGATCTCAGTAATATGTTGGACAGGATCCAAGCAACTGATTCTAAAGAGATTTAAATCCCATTACTGTTTCCTAGAGCCCCTGAGAACATCCCTGTTTTAGGACCTGAAAATCAGAACTAATAGTCTATGGAGGCCCCTGGTTACCTTTTAAAACTCCCTGGGGTGCTTGGTACCCAGCTCTGTGATTTACTTGACGGCCTGCCACTCCTTGAGTGGAGAGATTTCATCATCCAAGTACATGAATGTGACTTTTGCTCCCATACTGACGAGAAGAGGAGAAAAATACTCAATAATATTCCATTGCTGGCAGTTTTACCAGCTCTATATCCTCCCACCCACTGCCATCTGTCTAGGACTCCAACTTTCTTGTCCTCCCCATCTGGAAAGTGGGATTCTTCCTCCGCAGGGCACTGGCAGAAGGAAAGTTTGGAGAGGATTCGGGGGGACCTTGGATAGAAAGTGTAGCTGAAATGGCACCTGCTTTTCTTAGATGCAGCAGAAGCTTCTAACAGTCTTTTGTGTTTTATTCCTCCAGTTTCCTGGCAGATCTGATGGACAACTCAGAGCTAATTCGAAATGTGACTCTGTGTGGGCACCTTCACCACGGCAAGGTAGTGTGGGCATC